GTGTTGTGCATGTTATGTTGTTAGCATTGTGTGTGCCATGTAGTTGTATTGCATGTTTGTATGTTTGCTTGCATGCTTAGGTCGCATGTGCATTGTTGTGCATTGCCTCGCCTCTTGACCAACCATGATTGAGGTTGGGTCCCTTTGGACCCAAAAAAGGAAAATTTTCAGTGCTCATAGCCTGACTTGCATGATTTCAAATCAAAAATCGAACAAGTGTGTTAATCTAACTCTCATGTTGGTCAAAATTGTTTTAGTAGAAAACCAAAACAAAAAATGGTCAAGATAATGAACTAGGGGCACAGTTGAGTCAGGTTTCCTGTCTTTTCCCTGTTGTCAATGCATTTGCCAGAAAGGGGCACTCTACTTGCCAGAAAAGGGCACAACTGAAGTCAACAACAAAGGGCTGAAAGCTCTCTCATCCTCCAAGCAACGAGGTATCAAGACAAGTGCGAAGCACGAACTGGAATGGGGCGAGATATTCCACTCCCTCATCTGGACAGATCTGATCATGTCCGAACTTCCCAGCAGAGCATCATCAACTGATGTCAGCTACAGATTTGCTACATACCCAGTTGTAGCGCAACCCCTCTGTGGGAGGAATTCACAATTGTGAACAAGAATCAAAAGCTGGTAGAATACCCAGGGCAAGGGCCCACGATTTCCTGTTTATCCATCAACCACCCAGGGGAGGGATTGAAAAAAATGAGAGATTGAAGAATAGAGAGATGTGCAATGAGAGAAAAAGTGAGAAAAGGGCTTTTTCAGAAAAATAGAGCTTGAGGGCCGAGTGATGTAAGGATCACAAATGAGAAAGGGTGGGAAACAATACCCGGTGAAACAGGCTCCCTGTGCACGTCTGTGTGTCGTGTCTTTTGTTTTGTTTGTCTCGATTCTTGCTTTGAGTCGTTCCGAGCATGTCTCGATGTGTTTAGGTTGTTTACCTTTTGTTTTCCGTTGTTGAGTCGTAGTGCGCTGTGTTCAGTCGTAGGCTCAATACCCGGTTAAGAACTCATTTCTTAACTTCAAAAATAAAATCGCTTTGTGCTTAGAGTGCTATGTCATTCTTCACGTTTGTGCAAAACAAGATTCGTTCTTTCATAAAACTGCAGGGTTCAACCCAAGTCATATCAGAACAGTAAAACCAGGACCTATTTGAAGCTATATGGGTTCCAGACTACAAAACAAAAGCAAAAGAGAAAAAAAAATCGGAGCATCTGAGTGTGCTTCAACTTTAGAAAATTCCGTGATTGTACTCCGGATGTACCTCTTCAGGCCTTGTCAGTGCTCCGAAGAATAAGTGTGCCTCTACTCCAAGCTTAAGCCTGCTCAAGCCAGAATGGCAATCAAATTGTTCCCTCAGAAAGCCAGTCCTTGCCAGAGGCATCTTGGCTGTGTTTACAATGAGTTCCTAGGAGACCAACTGCGACGGTGGAAACTAGAGTTCGAACGACTATTACCTAGAATGCAAAGGTTTGGGATTTCCGAGACTAAAGTCTGGTTTAAATACCCAGGGGTGTATCCCCGGCTTGAAATCTGTATGGTAGCCCCATAGATTGAGATAGCGTGTATGCACCTCAATTCTGGATACTGAACCAACCTAGTCTGTCACCCCGTTGGAGAATAGGGAAAGTTGTGAACATGGCCGGGAAAGAAAGGTAGTAACTGCGTTTTGGAAGTATAAGCAAGAGAAACCCACTTTTCAGCTCAAATTGTTTCTGCGGAATTTTCAATTCATGTCTTCGATGCGTAGCTCATCGTCAGTTGGCATGCACAAGGTGTATCCTTTTGAAATATATTGTGACCCCTCCGAGAGGTAAATCGGAGGTTATGTTTGAATTGATCTTGTTAAGGCTTGTATTCCCTTATTCGGCATTTTGTTTCAAATATGCGTTGTCACGCACGTTCCACTTGCATTGTGATGTACGTTCCAATTGCATTGTTATGCACCCACTTCACTTGCATTGTGATGCACATTCCAATTGTATTGTTATGCACCCACTTCACTAGCATTGTTACGCTCATTCATTGCATTGATTTTGCACATCTATCTAGCATTGTCACGCTCATTACTTGCATTGTTATGCACCTTTTCACTTGCAATTATCATTCTTTCTCCTCGCGCGTGCGACGGGTTAGACCTTCTCTGGTTAAGAGCATTTGGAATACGTTTCAATGCTCACACCATTTCGAAACACCGGGATACGTCCCTATGTTTCTCTCTCTTTTCGAAACACCGGGATACGTCCTCATGTTTCTCCTACCTTTCCGAAACAATGGGATACGTCCCTATGTTTCTTCTTCCATTCCAAAACAACGGGATACGTCCCTAATCCTTGGGATACGTCCCTAACCTTTGGGATAAGTCCCTAATTCGCGGGATACGTCCCTAACCTCTGGGATACGTCCCTAACCTTTGGGATACGTCCCTAATCCTTGGGATACGTCCCTAACCTTTGGGATACGCCCCTAATCCTCGGGATACGTCCCTAACCTTTGGGATACGTCCCTATGTTTCTCCCTCTTCGGTTAAAAGCGTTCGAAATACGTTCCAATGCTCACACCATTTCGAAACATCGGGATACGTCCCTTTGTTTCTCCATCTTTTTCCGAAACACCGGGATACGTCCCTATGTTTCTCATTCGTTTCGAAACACCGGGATACGTCCCTATGTTTCTTCTCTTTGTCCGAAACACCGGGATACGTCCCTATGTTTCTCATTCATTTCGAAACACTGGGATATGTCTCTATGTTTCTCCCTCTTTGGTTAAGGGCATTTGGAATACGTTCCAATGCTTATACATTTCTGAAACACCGGGATACGTCCCTATGTTTCTTGCATGATCATAAGTTATGTTCGGCTTCTTGCATTGTCAGTTGCATCTTGCCCCTGCCCTCGGGCGCATACCTTTATTTGTAGCTTGTATGCTTTGTCCAAGTCTTCGGCCTTGTCAAAAATGGGTCGTCTACACCTAGTTATATAGAAAAGCAAAATGACAGTGGAGAAACTCCTTCAACAGTTTTCACCAATAAACACAAGGATTTAGTAGTTGAAGGAGAGAAATGGATGAAAAACCGAGCGACCTCACGCACAATTGCAGCAACACTCATTACTACTATAGTATTTGCTGCTGCAATAACTTTCCAGGTGGGAACAATAACACAAGTGGACTTCCAATTTTCTCCACAGAAAAAGCATTTATCATTTTTGTAGTTTCGGATGCAATTGCTCTATTAATGTCCACCACTTCTCTTCTGATATTCTTGTCCATCCTCACTTCGCGATATGCTGAAGACGATTTTCTCTATGTTCTTCCCCATAGGCTGATTATTGGCTTTGTTACATTGTTCCTCTCCATAACAACCATGATCGTAGCCTTTAGCTCAACAATCTGTCTTATGTTGGGTGACAAGAACAGCTGGCTACTTGGTTTAGTGGTTACATCAGCATGTTTACCAATTTCTTCTTTCATGCTCCTACAGTTCCCCCTCCTTGTGGATCTCATGTCTTCAACATATGGACCTGGCATTTTCGGCAAGCAAAGTAATCAGCCTTTTTATTAAGATCAACAACAAGATGAAGAATTCCAAGCATATATCATCTAGTTTCATCCATTGTAACCAATAAATGGATTATGGTCCCTAAGTTTTCTTTTGTAATAAAAACCTGTTGCAATGTTCAACATGAAAAATTGTGTGACAAATGATAGTAACATATACAAGTGCAATGGATTTTGGAAAAATGTTTGTTTTGATTTAGATTTTGAAAAAGATTAAGAATTGCCACTTGGTTTTAGGGTAAATCAAGGAACCAAAATGTTTGACTCCAAAATAACGCATGGTCGACCTTCACTAAAGACTAGGTCTTTGCGGACTAAGGTACAAGATGGGAAGGTGTGAGACATGTCTTGCCCAAACATAAGGTCGGCTTTTACTTATCAGTATTGGTTCGTAAATTAAATTTGTTAGGCCATTGATTTGGGGGTTCAGATCTCCTGTCCAACTCTCTGTCCCTTAATTCTTGTGCTGACATGTGTCTAGTCTTAAAGATCAATTATGATTCCGTTAACCCTCTGTTTTGTATGGCTTCTCTTTACTCCCAACAAATATGACTCATCTAGACCTGAAAATAGGAGCAGTATCAGACAGATCAACCGTCTATCATCATCAAAGATTTCATGTTCTCGGTAATTGACACATACAATTTACAGATACCAGCAATCAAAAGTATTCAGAAGTAGCCATTGGTATCATTCATAACTGCAAACTAGATGTATGAACAAAACCACCAAGATGTAAAATGGGGAAATTTATGAATTGGGCTTACCTTAATTACACCATCTCTATTCCTCAAAAAAATTACACAATCACTCCCTTTAATTTATTGTTATTATTATTATTATTATTACAACATACAGGTAGTTTATAAGTGACATTATATATATATGGTGTTGTTAATATTAAAAGATGAGAAAGAGGGTGGTTCGCCGCATCGTCTTCATCGCCGATGATTGGTAGCGGATCTCATGAAATTCGTAGCGCAACTGCGACAGCGAGCAGATCTGGTCGCCGTTGGCATACGCCAACTAGGTAGATCGTGCAATCAGCTCCGCTGAATTTTGAGATGCAGCAGATCAGCCACTGTTAAACATTTACATTATGGCTCCTTTCTGGGGCTGCGGAACAGCCACCTCGTGGCGATGATTCGGTCTAACCACAGCGATGAAGCCGAAACACATATTAAGGTGCGCAGCAAGCCGGCGAGGACAACCCCGAAGTCGGAAGGTAAGGGATATGGCAGATGAGTTGTGAATCGTGTAAGTGCAAAAACGTGGGTTAACGGAGTTATAATTGATGGTAAAGAGTGAACATGTGTCAGCATAAGGGGATGGAGACGGGGAATTGGGACAGGCTTTTGGAACAGGGGACCTGGAGCCTTGATTTGGAATGCATGAATGACAATTATGGAAAGCGATACACATATAAATGAAGCTAATATAAACTAAGTAGTGGAATAGGGATACTACTCCATGGAAGTGCAACTCAAGTTTGTGAAATCTCATGATCAAATTGTTAACATATTCACAAAGCCTCTCAAGTACGAAGACTTTACATAGTTTTGGACTTTGCTTGGCGTTACAAAAAATCAAGTTTAAAGAGGGGTGTTGAAACAATAAATATAATTTTAGTTAATTTACACATTTTTATAAGTATATATTTATGTTTTGTTCATTTATTTTTGGGGTTCATGTGTTTCTAGAGTGAATGTATTTAGGAAGATTCATGTATGATTCATTGAATATAGAAATTGATTTATTTCTACGCTTGCCTATTTGAGCCTAGAAATACCTCATGTAATCAGATTTTCTTAGTGGAATCAAACATTCAGTGCCTAGAATTCCTCCTTTTTCAATCCTTCTTGCACTTGTAGAGTCCTTCATGGTGTTCCAGAGGAATACATCCCTGTCAGGCATTAAATCAAGCTGTTTGCAAGCATAGTACATTGTTGGGTTCAAGGAGCAAGCTAAGGTGATGAGTTTGGTGGATAATAGGAGGCTTTTGTGGGACTCATTTGTGAGGATCAGAACATGGATTCATTTGGGGTCTGAAAGAGAAGAACAAGAATTCATAAGGTAGTTAAAAGGGTGGGAGTGGTAGTTAGTATGGAAGTGAGATGGGACATACAAAATGGGCTTAAGTTTTCTATGGACTGTGAGGAAGTAAGGCCATGTTTGTTTGGGCGGACTGGATTAGCATTCTCATGATTAATAGTCCTTGGACTACGAATCCGTTAGATTATGTATCCTATCTTAACTAATAGTCAAGTTTAAAATAATTAGTCCGTACCTCAATTGTTTAACCAAATATCGGATTAATAATTTTATTGGACTATTAATCCAATCCCAAGCTCATGTCCACCCAAACAAACATGGCCTAAGTGGCTAACATCAACTTCACATCCCTTCGATAACAGAGAGCAATTGGGTTTGGGATATCACTTTTTACTGTGCCTAAATGCCTTTTTACCCTATTGGTAATATGGTTCGAGGCATTAGCAAGCATTAGCATCAGTTCAAAAAAGACCCGCTCTAGTTGGGACTCCAACCAAAAGAACCATTAAAAAAAAATTAAAATTTCTTTTTGTTTGTTGTCAAGTTTCATAATCACCTCCCTCTCCTCTCCAATAAATTTTAGTGTAAATTATCCTAACCTCCTTTAGAATTTAAAGAAAATATAAAAAAATCTCACAATTTGGCAAAATTTTAATTCATGTAATACTTAAACTTCATTTTCAACAATAATGTCAGTTATATGAATAAATAAAAAAATGATATTGTTATTTCTTTTATAAAAAAATGTATACTTTGCGTTGTTTATTTTTGTGTTTTCATACCATATGCATTAGTTTTAGTACATTTAAAGAAAATTCAATGTAATTATATCAAAATTATGGAACTTATTGTATTTTTTTTTAATCCTTAAGGGAGATTAATGTAATTCACCCTAAATTTCAAGTTAGCCTTTTCTCAAATTCAAATTTAAATTTGAGAGAATTTGTAAGGTATGTGAGACCCATCGTAGATCCCATTTAAATGATCCGTACCATTTACTTTGTAAGGTACTCAATGTTTAACATTCATAGAAAAAAAATTAGTTTGATCCGATAATCGTAACCTTTTTATTTTATTGCGTTTGTTTTTTTAAAAAATAGGCAACAATATGTTTTTTAAAAATAGGCCATTGATTTTTTTAGAGACAAGCACGGCAAAATGAAAAGGATAAGATTATTAGATCGACTTAATTTTTTTCATTAATTATACGCACGGAGGGATTTTACAAAATAAATGGTTTAGATAATCGAAATGGGACCCATTGTGGTGCTCTACGGCTATCTCAAGTTCTCCCAAATTCATATCATATATTATTTATATATATATATATATATAATATTTTTTTCTTACCTAGGTGGCACATTCTAAAAGCTTAATTTTTTTCTAAAAAATCCACATCAATATATTTTTTCCATTTACATATAAAAGTTCTACATAAATTTAATTTCAATTATTTATCGTGTGTTGTGTTTTGTGGTTGTCAAATTTCTTTTTATATAGTTGATATTTTAATTTAATTATTATGATATTTGGGGGAAAAAATTATCTCGATATACAAATAAATAAGACAGAATGTGCTTAATTATGTGTATCACACGGATCAAATTAATTTTCTTTTATATATTTTTTATTTTTTGTCTATCTTATTGATGTCTTAATATTAATTTATATTTAATTATATATATAAATAGTGTTTACCCTAAAAAAATTTCATTCTCCTATGTAGCATATCTCTCTTCTGATCTTTCTTTTTTTTTTTTTTCAAAAAAGTGCCACGTAACATATCCTTATATTTAGTTATTTCTAAAATCTAATATTTAAAAGACTTCTACTTAATCTAAATTACCTATAAATGAAATTTAAAATTTATATATTATATAAGGAAAAAGGAAGTTTTTAGTGAGGTGCCCTGTGACAACTTCAATATCTCATACTAATTTTCTTGATTTTCTTAATTTTAAACAATTAAGAAAATCTCCATTGGCTAGTTTTATTTATAGCGATTCTGGTTTAGACCGACCCATTTTGTATTCTAAACTCAGGTTTCATGGTTTCGTATTGTTGTTCATGTCTTGCTTCCCTAGTACATCCTTAAATTTTGTTGTTAAATTGTAGTGGTTATGTTTAGAACAGGTTGGTAGTTTGGTTTTCAAGCCTTTGTTGCCTAAAATTTTACTCCTCCACTCAAGCAGCACTCTTTGCACTGGAGCGGGCTCAGCTCGAGCAGCCTTTTTTGCAATAAAGTGTTGATCTGTTGTCTGCAAAACTACTAAGAGTGTGCGTTCTGCACTCGAGCGTTATTTTTTGCGCTCAAGCGGAACAACTTATTGTGTCTGATGCTCGAGCGTCACTTATTGCGCTCGAGCGGATTGTACGTATATTAGTTTGTGAAAGTGACTTCTTATATCACTTTTTCGAATCTTTCCTCTCAAAACTCTAAAGTTGAGACCCTATTTCTTTAAAACCTACATTCTCTTTACATTTTCATCTAGATCTAGTGGTTTTTACACCCGTATGCCTTTGTTAAAAAGGTAGAACACGCCGTGGGCTCTCTTTTCATCCGAACAAAAGTGGGTTTCAGTTCATTTGAGGTTTCTCCGCTCTCTCTTTGCTCTCTAGCTTTGAGGTAGAGACTTTCTACAATCTTCTATGAGTTTTAACTTAATTATTTGTTGATGTGTAAAGAATATTGAAATTTGGGATGATTTTGAACAATCTAGGGTTTTGGTTTAAAATCAAAAGATGAATTTTCAAATGTATGTATTAAAAATGGTTATGGGGGTAGATGTGAGGTTGTGTTGTGATAAATTTGTTGATTTTGATACCTGGGATGGATTTTGGAAGAAAAGGGAGTTTTCCCTAAAATGTTTTAAATAGTTATTTGGTATAAAAAAAAAATGAAATTGACATTAGGAATTTGAAATTGGATAGATGTTTACATAAATTGTAGAG